TCTTATTGATCTCAATAAATAATTCGATTTCATTATTTAAATATTCTGCTTATTGCATTCAAACTTCGATAGTTTGATGGTATCGGTGCCAGTGCTTTTTGATCGTGGCTCATCGCTGCACGGCATTGACGAGTGCCGTGTTTCATATTCCGAGTTTGTGCGTGGCCGTATTGACTCAATATGGCACGAAAAGACTCAAATGTGAATTTAAATTTGGACTCAAGTATCGTTTCATAGTATCCATCATAGTGTAGGAGCACACTAAGAAAGGCTTTTGGAAAATTCTAGCTCCAACGGGGGGAAAACGAGCTTTAAAAAATATTAGTTATAGTGGTCATGTTCGTTTAACGAAATAGTTTGTCAAGAACAACAAGAGAGAACGCTACAGTCGAGCAAGCCCGACAGTGTAATACCCTGTACCCAGGTAAACTTCCGTCACTGAGTTATATGCGCCCAAAGCAGCAGCAAAAAGAGGAAGAAGAAGAGCGAACTTGTTGCTGCAGTTTGGGGAGGTTGTACTGGCGAGAATTTGTTTCGCTAATAACTTTTCTTAGAATTGACCGAATTGAATACACTTTTGAACAACAGTAGACAATTATATATAAATTATGTGTGCAAAGTTTGCTTTAGGTAGCATTTGAAATGTGGACGCTATTGACGAAATTCTGTAGCGGGGGAAGGGGGGGGGAAATTCCAAAAAATAAAATAAACTCGTCCTTTCTCGGACCTAGGAGAATCTGGATGCCAACTTTGGTTATTCTAGCTTTTATAGTTTCTGAGATCCTCGCGTTCATCCAGACGGACAGACGGACGGACGGATGGACGGACATGTCTAGATCGATTTCTCTCGTCATGCTGATTCAGAATATATATACTTTATGGGTCGGAGATGCTTCCTTCTGCATGTTACATACTTTGCACAAACCTAATATACCCTTTTTACCCTACGGGTACAGGGTATAAAAATGTAACGGACTACTGAACAATTTTTTGTCAAGAACAGAAAATGTTCATTTAAATACCTTAAATGCCTTGCTACTGGTAACCTTTAAGGTGAAAACATATGGGTAGGTTATACACACACAAAATAATTACAATTGGAAACATATTGAGCCGGGTTAAGACGGGCAATACCTGATAGTATAAGATCAATTTACATGGGTCACACGATTATAAGTGCCCATCCACACCCTGAGCGTCTTTTCGCGAATTAATTTGGCTAATTTGGCGTTAATTGCACTATATTTTTAACACACGGCGGAGCGAAATAAAAATACGTCCGACGTCTACGACGTTCACTTGCTAATCTAATTTTTTTCTGTTTGGTACAGGGTTGAACCTGCTGTTTGTTTTATTGTTTTAGTTTGCCTTTTCTATTTAATGGAAAAACCGCATTGAAATCAGAAAAAAAAATGCATACGACAGGTTAAAGTTATCGCTTATGTCAGGTGGGCACGAAATTTCAAATCGAGACCCCTACAACAACATCTACAACAATAATCACAGCTATAGTTTTGAGTAAATGCTACTGAGAATCGAGAAACAACACACGAACTATTTTTATAGCCTGTACTCGGTATCCAGATTCCCATAAGCCCTAGGCAGGTCAAGTTTATTTTTTTATTCTGAATTTCGAACTAATATTTGGTAACTACATCCCGTTAGTGATTATGTGTCTGTATGCCAAGTTTCATCATGATACGTCAATTCTGAAGAAAGTGATAGCCATAAATAAAATCGCTGCCCACGCTCTGCTTGTAGAGCTGCCGGCAGCGCTGCCCGCAGCTGTTGTTGTTGTTGCTGCTTGGGTTCAACTTTGTGCTGCATACATACACGAATATAAACACGCAGAGATGTCTGCGTGTACATCTCTGATGTAAATGTATGCTGTTTAAACTGTACATGAACATGTCCTTAATTTAATTAAATAATTAAATTAATATACTTTTTTTTAATTATTTAAACATTTTTTTTTTTCATTTTTTCCTTTTTGGTGGGAGGTTCAGCGTATTTAAGAGTTGAGCTTGGTCGACTTTAGCATTCTTTTCTTGTTGCATCGTCTGCTTGTGTGTCTGGCTGGCGACATCTACATGTATTTTGTTTTTGTAAGTTCGCACGCGACCGGTCTTTTGCTTGTGCGTATGGCTGGCGCCACTTACCAAAACATAACGCAAAGACCCCTGTCAGTAATATTGAGTGTCGACGTTTACATTTGACTAACTGAGTTTAATTTCCCTTACGCACAAAGTTCAACAAATAAGAAATTTGCCACTTGCATTAATAATAGCCAGCGAGAATCCTTCATATTGTATTTGTATTGTAAATTTTATTTTTAATGCTCTTCACAACGGAAAAAGTATGAACCCGATTTTCCTTGTGATTTCCCAGTCGATGCAAATAATGAGACTGGTAAAGAAACGGAATCACAAAGTGAACAACAAGGAGGATTGGCGAATATTCGAATCGCCGCGCGTATATCCTTTCGCAATACCGGTGTGTGCTTCCATAAACTGCACGAAGATTGAGTCTTGTTCAGACGATTTATGTTGTCCCCTGCAACTGACTCACAAAATAATACTTAATTCAGCAAAATGTGATGTTCGAAAAATGTTATTTTGTATTTGTGCCAAGTTGGAATCTCTATTGCTTGCTTGTTTTGGATGCTGTGTGTGAATGCTGGTGTTTAAAAGTATACACTTAGTAATTTGCCAATTTAATAATATTTACATAGGATATGCAAAATATTTTACTATCAGGCTTATATTCCAATAATTATTTTTATTTGGAAAAATGTCTGTTTTTTAATATCTTTTTTTTTTAACCAAAACTTACGACATTTGAAAACTCCAAAAAAAATTCTGTTGCACCGAGATTTGGTTTTCGGGCGAAAGTTGGGAGAAAGAGATTTCTGTGGCACCCCTCTATGTGTCCGTATGCTAACAATCGTCATGATCAATTCAAGAAAGTCAATTCTTAAGAAAGTTATAGCCATAAATAAAATCGCTTGCGATGCTCTGCCCGCAGCTGTTGTTGTTGTTGCTGCTTTGGTTCAACTTTGTGCTGCATACACGCATACAGGGGAGTGCGGGGGTGAATCAGAAAAACAAACTTGACCTGCCTATGGCCTAGGGGCACCTTGATACCTAGTTTGGTAATTCTAGCTCTTGTACCTTTTGAGATCCTTGCGCTCATACAGACAGACGGACGAACGGACAAACTGACATTGCTATATCGACTCGGCTTGTCACCCTGATCAAGAATATATATATGGTTCAATCGACAAAACCAAAAATGGATTTTACTAGCAGTTTTTTCGGCTTAAAAGACATAAAGCACAAGTTATTTATAATTTTTATTTCGAAATTCCAACAATTATCCCTAGGTTTTATTCTCTCTGAGATCTAGGTGATCATAAAGACGGACAGACAGGGCTAGATCGACTCGTCTCGTCATGCTGATCAAGAATATATATACTTTGTGGGGCCTGCCACGCCTCCTTCTGCCTGTTACATTTTTCAAAATCAATTTATTTTATTCAAAATAGTCTCCTTCTGCTTCAATACAGCTTTTTGCACGATCCAAAAGCATGTCGAACGAGTGTTTTAGCACGTTGGCCGGTATGGCCGCCAGTATGCCGGTGCAAGCCTTTTGAATGGTCTCTACGTCTGCATAACGCTTTCCTTTCATGGGCAAATGCATTTTTGCGAAAAGGTAGATGTCGCACGGTGCCATATCAGGTGAATACGGCGAGTGGTTAATGTTTAAAATTTGATTTTTGGTCAAATAATCGGTCACAAGCGACGATCGATGAGAGCAATTTTTGGTCGTCAGTCAATTTGTGCGGAACAAACCGTGCACAGATCTTTCGTAAGCCCAAATGTTCGGTCAAAATGCGATAAATCGATGTTTTGGAGATGTTTAATTTCATTTCCATCAATTTCAATGATGATTCTACTGATTTTTGATGAATTCACGCACAGTTTCGATGGAATTTTCGGTGACCACGAATTTTGATTGGCCCACATGTTGATCGTCATTTATGTCCTCACGACCACTTTGAAGACGTTGAAACCACTCGTGCAGTCTGCTACGGGATAGGCAATCTTCGCCATAAACTTGTTCCATCAATTGAAACGTTTCGGTAAAAGTTTTACCAATTTTAAAACAAAATTTAATGTTGGCTCTTTGTTCGAAGCTCATTTTCGCACCGATAAGACAAACATACTGACACTTAAGACGCAATAACTTCACTTCCAATCGATGAAATGTCATGATTCTCACTGGACAATAGATAAAGATTGCAGATTCTAACGCTCCAGTCGACATATAAATAGCGCCACCAGGGGGCGCTAGATTCAAAGAGTCCTGTTTACTTTGGAACTCACCTTGTACTCTTGTACATTTCATGTAAAGAGTATAATCAGAATCCAGGATCCAGACAGGCGTTAATAATTGTGCTCGCTATGTCATGCACAACGACCACCACGGTGGAACGCGTTCCACCGTTCGAACGGTCGTTTACCACAATGAGAGGAGTCGAAACCTGGTTTCGAACTATAATTAATCATGTTGAGCGCACACAGGTAATTAGTATTGTAGTTGCTGAAAGTGATGAGTTTTCTAAAAACCCAAGAATATTAAAACTTTTAATTTTTATAACTAAATATACGTATACGAATTACTCAATAATTTGGAAATATATACAGAAATTTTATGTGTCTATCTCTTATGTTCCTTGAGATCATATTGATATACAGGGCTAAATCGACACTTCTTGTTATGCTGATCAAGACAATAATAAGAATATATAATAATATAATTGTACTCTTGTACCTTTCAGGTAGAGAGTATTACCATGGATTCATAAATACGTTACCTTCCAAACTGTTTCACGGTGCAAATATATACATACATTTGTCTATTTTTGAAGAAAATAAAAATTCATATGAAATATAATATTTAATCGTTTTTCTTTTGTGTTTTTTTCTCGGAAATCTCAGACACAAAGTCGGCCCAGGGCAACACCAACTCCAGCAGCAAAGTGGCACCAGACCCGCAGCCTACGATACTATGGCAGTGTAATTTGTAAACTGGAACTCCGATATCAGCGAGATATAAACTTATGTTGTGGCAATTAAACATACAAATGATTTATTAAAGTGCGTTGAAGTTGAATGAATTAAAAACAAACAGGCAAAAGTCAATACAGTAAAATCTAACAAGTCACCCGCTAAGTGAACGAATTAATAGTATTAGTACATATTGACTACTAAAAATATTTGCATACATTTTTTCATATTGTATTATAGTTATAGGCAAAGCGAAATTACCAAAATATTATAAACGAACTTAAGTAACAAATAAAAGATACGTTAGAGGTCCTTAAGGTGACCCTTTTAAGTTAGTTTACCATTTCAAATTATTTTCAAGTCATTACTTTAATAAGACCATAGTAACCTTTATAAATAGTACCATTTGAAAAAAATTTGGAATCGATGTATTTCGACAAAATTGAATGTATAGTAAGAATAAATAACTATTCTTGCTTTTTGTCGAAACGGTAGAACTTCTGAATGTTTTATCCTATGTTCCATATTTTATAATTTGTGATGATATTTTGGGATATTATATTTCCAAAATTCAATTATTATTCCACACTTTTGCTTAATTAATAAGCAGTTGATCAATTTTGTATCAAACAATTTCTTTGATTTTACCAACTCCGTTCTAACGATAACAGGCTTTAAAGCAGACTACATGATTATAATTTAGTGTGGTGGGATTCAAAAATCGTTCGTATTGAACTCCAATTTACTGCCAGTCGACGCTTAGAATAGACAAAAGTCCAGCTAGGTATTCATCTACAGGAATGCCTCGCAAATGTGTAAAGTTCGTGAGAATCTAGATACACAAATTAATAGCTTATTAAATAGCTAACGCTTTCATTGGTTTTCTTTGGTAATGGTAAAAGTTATATGTTATTGATTTACATTGCATTTTAAAACAAAAAAGGAATGCTAAAGTCGACCAGGCTCAAATCTTAAATATCCTGTACCAACCCACAAAAAAAGAAATTAAATTAATTAATGAATTTAATTTAATTAATTAACTAAATTAAATATAAAATATTCCATACATGCATACATACATTTACATCAGAATCGTGTCTATGCGTGTTTGTGTATTTGGAAATATGTATGTATGTGTGCATTGGGCCTAGTTATATGGCTATAACTTTCTTTCTGGTCAACCTATCATAATGGTATACGGATATATAATCACTAACTTAATGTGACTACCAAATACCAGTAATAGAAAATCGTGGATCATAAAAAATGAACAAACTCGTCCTTTTTCGGGCTCAAGAGAATCTAGATACCAAGTTTGGTTATTCTAGCTCTTATTCTTTCTGAGATCCTTGCGTTCATACAGACAGACGGACATGGCTATATCGACTCGGCTTGTCATCCTGATAAAGAATATATATACTTTGTGGGGTCTGCCACGCCTCCTTCTGTGTGTTGCATGTACGCTCCCACAAAAACTAATATACTCTTCTTTGGGTACAGGGTATAATGAGTGATTTTCTGGTTTGTTCTTTGATTATAGTATAATTTGTTTAATAAAGGATTTACGTTTTTACAGTAAGTAAGTTATATAACAAATAAATACTTTCCACAACCAATTTTTATTTATTGTTATTATTTTATTTATTGAAATAAAAATTTTAAATTCCATCAAATAGTTATATTTCTTGTCCACTTTTTTAATTAAATTCCACAAATATGAGCGTTTATTTTTAAATTACAATATGTTCTATGTTTTTAAAGATATAGAGTAAAGTAAAATATACATTATTATGAATATCAGTTGCAATCTTGGTTGCAAATGGGCTAAAATGTACCGATATATACCTAACAAAAATATATTGAATAAAAAGAACTAGTCATTTTTGTTACATAAAATGTAAAATAAATAGAAATGGCAGTTGATAATTTTGGCACAGTTGGAACATTGAAAACAGAGAAATATTAAAACTAACTAAAATAAGGATAATTAATATCTTAATCATGCTTACCTATATTCACATTTGAAGCGATTTATTGAGGCATTTGATATACTTGTATGAGTTCCTCTCAAAAATATCATCTTCCGGCTTAATTTAAGGGCAGCCATATAAATTAAAATATAAAGATAATAAGGTTCCGTTAATCTTTAATGTTATTTTTTACTGCCAAAATATCGGTAATGTCCCGAAGCAGTCGGTAACACCGATGTAATATTTTTGACAACAATATAGTTTCTCGCACTATTGTAGCCGATTTAGTCTAAGCTTCTCTTCTGTTAAAAAGGTCATAATTCGACATGCTAATAAGGAATTAAACTGTTGAAGTTGTATTTCTCCCTAATTGCTCATCTTGCAAAAATTAAAAAACGCAAATGCACTTTGATACTCGTAGAAAAAAAAGCACCTATTCAAATATAAAAATCACAAAGGCAGAACAGCTTTTTGCTCTGTTTCTAGCAGTAGTCAACTACGCGGTTAATTTAAATGAACTGATGTAATTTTTCACTGACTCTGTTCTTTTTTATTCAGATTTATTTTTTTCACTTGCAAGTGACAAAAGATTTCAACATAAAGGGCGTTAAAATAATGAATGAAATTAATAAACTTTCACATAACGTTCACAAGTCGAAAAAGAGTATAAAAACTGAACTTATTTGTGAAAAACTTGTCACGAAATCCCCAAAGTCGACTAGTAGTATTAGATTCCGTGTGTTTGTTCTTGTCCTCTAAATAAAAGTTTGCAACATTTTGCTTTAAAAAAAATATGAATAACCAGTTTGCTATGTACTTGAATAAAAAGTACTACGATATGAATGACGAATATTTAGAAATGACGAATATTTATATATGACGAATATATATATGAGGAATATATTTATTATGTTGTCAGCAACATTCAACTTCAGCGCACATTAAGCCAACATTTCATTAACGAACTATTATAAGGCTCTCATACATACTACTTACTTATATACATGTATGCAGTTAAAATTTCAGATCTGTACTACTATTAACCCTTAGGTGGTAATTATTATATATATATATATATATATATATATATATATATATATATATATATATATATATATATATATATATATATATATATATATATACATATACTAATATAACATATACTAATAACATACATACCAATATAACCATATAGTACATTACATTTTATCTTACCAGCTTATTCATATGGTTCTAATTCGTATAATTATGCATGTAAGCCAATATGCGGAAGCTTTTATAATATTAATAACAACAAATCAAATCTTTACACATTTAAACATATGCTAGTTTCATTATTATCATACTCCAGCAAACATAAAATAAATAATTGTATGCGACTCTTGGGTAAACCAAAAAATTGCATTTTTTTTACGCGCTGCACTAGAAGGGATTTTGGAAAATTAGAGCTCCAAGTGGTGGAAAAAGGCTTCCAACGTTTGTATGAAAACTCTTCAATTTTCATCCGATTTATTTCAACTTAGCTTGGATTTTCGCGTGGAAAAATCGGGGCACGAGAAGCTATGTGCAATCAACGCACAGCCCAAACGGTAAGAAATTTGGACAAAAGTTGTATTTTAGGGTGTAGGTGAGCACTAAGAATATTTTGGGAAATTCGAACGCCAAAGGGGGGAAAACGGGCTCCAAAGATTGTATAAAAAATCTGCAATTTTCATTTATGTATAAAAGAATTCAAAAACACCGCACACTTGATTTTTCATTATTTGATTTGAATTATTGGGGTTTTAATATTTATTAACTTTTTCAAACGTAAAGTTTGTGTTATAAATTTTGTCCGATCAATTTTTGGGTAATGTAATCTACGTAACTAAATCTACAACTTTGCATTCAAGGATTTTTGAAATTATAAAACTATGGATTTCGCTTTACAAATGGAGGCAGAACAAACAACATAAAATGAATATCACACAGTTCGGGACAACTTAGTATACATACATACACACACATGCAAGCAGCTGTTCGTGTAGTTGCGTGTAAGCGATTGAAACAGCCAAAGCAAAATGTCAGACATTAATGTGTGAATGTATGTAAAGTCGTCTTTCACTGGCACGGTTCTCTACGTACGGTTAAAACAGTAAAAAGAAACAAAACAAAACCCATGGAAACGGCAAATGTGTGATGCAGGTGTCAGCTTCATTTGGCACATACACTTATATGTGCAGTGCACTATGACCTGTATCTGATTCTTGGTCTTATGCTGAGGTAGCAGAATAATATGTCATATTCTTGCTTATTATTGCTTATGTTGGCTGGCCAATGTCAATGCAACTGTAATTCGTGTGTATAGGTTTATGTGTTGTTATATGTATGTTATGTATTGCCAAGTTATTTTATTGAATGACTGTTTGCGTCGCGTTGATGAGATTTCATATACTCATTCGCGTCGCAACATTCTCTCCCCTAAATTGCGACCTTTCGCAATTCGCCCCCCCCCCCCCCCCCCCCCAATTGCGGATTCTTTCATGAGGCATAATAGACATTGTTTGTCAATTGCATTCGATTCTAATAACTTGAGTACCACAATTTTGTGAAACAAAACATGCACGTCAGCATTTGTATTTTGTGAGACTGCCTTGAATATTTCGTTTAATGCAGTAAAGTTGGTCAGTACGACCGGCCGTTGAGGCGAAGTCAAGATCAAATTTCGCAAATGCTTGTGTGACGTTGGCGATTGTAAATTATTTCGAGAACAGTTGCATGTGTCGATTTGTAGCGACCGGCAGTGCCGTTTAGACAATAATGTTAATGGTCAATTGCGTTGCTGACCTACAATATTACGGTAGTATGCGCGCATCGAAAGTACTGTCGGTATATGTATTCTTGGGAGTGGCCTGTCATCATTTTTGTGCATTGGTGGAATTAAACAATTCCAGAAGAGAATTCTTTGGAGCTTGCTCCTTTACTACTTATTTGTGTAGTTTGCTTCTGAGTACGTAAACTTACCGACCTTTCATATAATAAGTGTTTAAAGTAGTGGAATGGTATGTATGTATCGATGTGTTGAATCGTTGCTTATGCTTAGGCTTGCTTATGGTATGATGCCGATTGAGATGATCAGGTTTACGTAGACGCCAATGGTGGCGATGACTGTGGCCAAGTGGAACTGGCATTATGTCTTCAAGTAGTGTATTTGTCAGAATGGTGAATTGTGCTTGCTGCATCAACATGGTTACGTGGTCTGTACTTAACGTTATTCGTTGTGACTGCTTACTAAACCTCGATTGCCTTTCAGGTTCTGCTTGTCGATGGATCACAACCCGAATCTGCTTCCAGTACTTGTAACGTTAATGTAGGGTGCTCCA